GGAGTTTACTTTCAGTTTCTTGTTCATTTTTGGAGTGATTTTCAAGAGGAAGAAGTAGGTGGATAGGATTTTCTATATTGAAACTGGAAAAACTATTTTTTGGAATGATTTTAGCTCAAAGGTATAACATTTAATATTTACTCATTGGATCCATAATTAGTATCTTTTCTAGATCTTCATTTTATAACACCCTAGGAGATAGCTCATTAATTCTTAAAAAGCAATAACAAGGTTTTTTGTTTGTATCTTTTTCTTTGGCAGATGGGCTGTATGGGGATCCAAACCCTTGACCTTGGTGTTATAACACCACATTCTAACCAACTGAGCTAACCGGTCAGCCCTGTTTTCTTTTTAAATGATGGTGCTATAGCATAGGGTGTAGATGTTCTGTATGTTTGCCAGACATATTTTCATGAAAAAATCACTTATAAATTGAACTTTCATTGTATCTGGAGTGAAATAAGTCAGGCACAGAAAGAGAAATACCACATGTTCTCACTTATTTGTGGAAGCTAAAAATAATATACAAAAGGGGGGGAGGAGGGAAGAAGATGCAACAATCACAATTCCTTAAACTTGTTAAGAAAAGTGAACAGATATGATGATGGGTGGGAGGGGGGAAAGGGGAGGGAGGAATCGGTAAAGGGACACAAAAATCAACTACATTGTATACTGATAAGTTAAAATTTAAAAAAATTTTTTTAAAAAAACACCAACCACTGAATTCAGATAGATTTTTAAAAAGAAAAGAAAGAAATCTAGGGAAAAAAGGGAAGACTTTTTACTGAAAAAATTGTTTTTATTAAAAAGTATTTTTAAATTATCCACAGGCAGTAAGAATATAGTCTACAATTCACGTATGGCACATTTCAATTTATTTTCATTTTGACAGTATTCTACAATCTTACTTATACAAGCAGGCAAGAGTCTAGATAGAACCTTAAGGATACTCTTTTCATAATCATAGCAAGTAACTATTCTTCTCTGTTCCAGAGAGAAGATTTCAGACAAGAGAAGGCAAACTTAAAGAAGCAACTCCAATAGTTTCACAGATGATCTCAGCACAAACAGCCAACTGGGAACAGAAATACCAGAAAGCTGAAAGGGAAAAGCTGCATAGACTTTTTTTTTTTTTTCTTTTTAAGTTTTTTTTGTTTGTTTTTGTTTATTGAAACACAATTGATCATATATATCTGTGGGGTACAGCATTGAATATTAATACCTGTGTGCAATATGGAAAATTTATATATTCAACATTATACAAGGTAATTTTTTGTGGGCCTTTAACAATTTCTCACAAACCCCCTTCTCCTTCCCTCTTTCCCACCTCTAGTAACCTCAGTTCTGTTCTCTCTTTTCCAAAGTTCAATGTATTATTGTGATTGATGTATCTTTCTTTTTATTTTTTTTGCTCCCACTTACGAGTGAAGACGTGTTCTCTTTCCATGCCTGGCTTAAGCTGCATAGCTTTCTAAGTCTTCAGGACAGTTCCTTTTATTTGTATGTGTTCTAACATGTCAGAACATTACAAATGCCCTTATTTAGGCAGTCAGCACAATGACCAATAGGCTCCCCTTTCCCCCGCAAATTCATCAAACTCCTTCTCACTTGTGCCAGTTATTTCCCATTTATGCCACCCCCTCAGCCACCACCAGATCTATCCTCTCCCTTCTCTGCCCCAGGAAGATGACCCCTGCTGTTTGCATCTCTAGAGAGCCTTTGCTGGCTGGCTTCCAGTTGATCTTGGTTAAGAAACAGCACCTGAAGATCAGGTGGAGGTGGACACCACATCTCTGGCAATAGATGCCTCCCCTGGCGACTTCAGCTCCCACCAGGCAACCCTTCCTCAACGTTCTCAATGAGATCAAAGGAACAGTATCTCCTCCCCTTGTCCTTCTTTAGAGGCAGTAATGGTTTCAGGCTGTTGCTAGTCTTTACTGATGTCCCTATCTCTAAGCAATCCTTTCATGAACTTCTTTTCATTTCAACCATTTGGGGTGAGTTCTATTTCCTGCCAGAATTCTGAACAATTCACCAACCCAACCAAGCCTTTTTGTACTTGTTCATGCTACCTGGAATGCTCTTCACTTAGATCTTTGTATGGCTGGCTCCTCAGCAATCAGGTGTCAAATTTATATCACCCTCCTTAGAGGGACTTGCTTCCTTGACCACCAGATCTAATGTTAGTTCCCACCTCAAGCACTCTCTAGCCCCTTCCCTGTTTTTATCATCTCCTTGCTAGAAGTTAAGCTCCAAGAGAATAGAAATCTAGCGAGGCTGTCTTGTTCATCTTATACCCAGAGCACAGCACAATGTCTCACAGACAGCAGGAGTTAAACACTTTTTGTGGAATGAATGAAACAGTCCCAAATCAAACTTAACAAAACTAAATTCCTTTAAGTTTATTTTTTAAAGGAAAAGAGTCCCAAGGAAAACCCCAATTCTCAGGATATTCCCATAAAAGCAAATAAAAACTCCTCTATAATAAATGCGAATCGGTCTGGTAGAACATAATTTCTTAAGAATATTCTTGCCTGTAACGCTAATTATCAATTATTTTCTGTAGCAATATGATTGATTATATTCCCACATGGGACATTCCCCTAGGGCCTAATCAGATTATGGGGTATTGCAAAAGATTTCACAGGCCCAGATTGTGTTCAATCCCCAGGAGGAGATACCTCTGATTCCTACTACTTTCAAGAAAGCAACTGTGAATAGAAGAACTAAGTTATTATAGTGTATGACAAGGATAGCCTCGAATCTACTCTTACTAAATAAAAAAAAAAATTTAAGACTCATCAAGCATTAGTAATGCTTTGCTGCAATCCACAACTGATCGCATACCAGAGCCCCATAACCAAGAGTATGACTGTGAACTAAAGGACCACTATCTGGTCAAAATCTAAACTATTATGGATCAGAAAAGAAATATTAGAAAAAACTGATAAATAATTGAACTAAATTAGTTTCATGGTAAGCTTTTCTAATGATCTAATTGAAGCTAATAAATGTCCAAAATAATTTTATATAAAAATTTAGCTATAAGTTATTATGTACAGCTAAACATCTTTTTATAAACAATTTGTTTCAATTTTTCACATAAACATACTAAAAATTCCTAGAATGCAGATTTGAAATTATAATTTATTTTTTTAATTTTTATTAAAATTGAAAGAAATCCAGTTGAACAATTTATATACAACTATACAATGTCTGAAACAGCTTTCCTATTCCTGTTAAAGCTTTATATTTAAAAATGTCTACATGATATGTGCTTACTTACACATGCTTGAGAGTATCAAGCTTAATCACACATATGACTTTAGCAGCTTTATTGCACAATGATCCACATAACACTGCATATTTGCTTAGTGTAGGCCGTCATAAAGTGCTATTCACACAGGGAAAAGTAACAAAGATCATTAAACACTGAAATTCTCCATGGTATTTTCTACTTGGGTTGGGGGGAAAAGCTAATTTAGTATGCTACCTGTCCGAATAATAAATTTCCATTAAAAAAAAGTAACAAAAAAACAGGCCTAAGAGTTTTGGTTACTCTGTTAAAATATGTCAAAAGCATTACAAAATTAATTAGTGCTAAATGCATAACAGTCTAGTTTTTGAACATTTTAACTTCAAAAAAATCAAGCAGTTTAAAATAAAAACCACCTGCCTAAAAGAACATCTTTCAAAAATAAACATAAAATTTAGATAAAATGTAATTCTTTAAATTAAAAGAAATTTCAACTTTTAAAAGGGTATACACAGTCATTATGATTATAGTTATTACTCCTAAATAATTAAATTTGTATTTTTACTTGTTTTTATTACAAGTGATTACCAAATAATGAGCCATAGAAAATGCCATACAATTAATTACTCCACATTTTATAATATATTTAATGCTACTAAAAATATATCCTGAACTTTTCAAACATGTAAACATAAATCAGGAAAATCTGATATGTACTATTGGTGCCAAAAAATGAAAATCACAAGACACAAGAAGAGTGCAAGAGAACCAATATGTGTTAGATATCAGCCCACCTTCACTAATATTTCTGAAAAATAATTATTTGATACAAGCACAAGTATGTTCACAGAGTAAGAAAAACTGAAGATAAATTTCACTGGAAAAAAATATAGGAAGTGAAAAGTTTCATGTGGTTGTTAAGAACTTTGTGTTTCCTGCAAGAAACCATGTTTACTACACATGCCAGTTAATGAGTATTACAGCTAAGGGAACTCTTAAAAATGTTCAATACAGGGCCAGCCCGGTGGTGCACTGCTACAGTGCGCCGCTTGGGAAGCGCGGTGGCGCTCCTGACGAGGGTTCGGATCCCACATACAGACCGGTTCCCGCTCACTGGCTGAGCGAGGTGCGGGTGCAGCACTGAGGGTTGCGATCCGTTGCCGGACACGAAAAAAGACAAAAAGGAAAAAAAAAATGTTCAATACAATTTGTAGTCAAACAAAAAACAAAACAGCAGTAGTCATTTTCTAGGCAATATACTCTTAATACTTAGTTACAAACGTTAAAATACATAATTTTTCACTTAAATATACTACCATTTTATGGTCCTTTTCTTCTTACCTATCTATAATGTTTTCCTATTAAAAACAAATGCAAGACACACTGTTTAGTACTAATTTCTATCCATAAGGCATTTAAAAAATATCTTCTCTTAGGATATAAACAGGATATAAAAATGAAAAAACAAACACAAAAAAAGCATAATAAATACTTTTGTACCCCCTCCCAAAACAGGAATGTTAAGTCTCAGCAATACCAGCTGACATAAGATTTACTGTGCATAAAAGGAAAGAGAATCCAGTTGCAAAGTTAAACATTTCAATTAACTAGGAAACCATTAATCATTAACTAGGAAAGAACATCTTCCTTCCCATCATTTGTGAAAGGCAGAACACCAACAAGGAAGAGACAAGGCTGTTTAGGTTTTCTGTGTTTTAAGAAGAATCATACACAAAAAACAAAGGTGGTGACCAAATACTTAGATGATGTGTAATTAGTTACGAAGGTTAACACTAAGGCATTGTTTTGCTCACACTTTCATCCTAAGCCACATCGGATGTTTAAACTACATGTTCTCTAGGTATTCCAGACATTTTCCTGTGATGGGTTCTTCAAGTTGAATTCCTCCACTGCCCATTAACGCAAATGCTGGATACATGGTATGTGAACAGTCCACTTGGCGCTCATAAAGGCATTTCATGTGATCCATGTCATAGAAACCCACTTTGCCTTTATCATAGTCAAGGAAAATCCCTATACTTGTTGGCATGGGAAGAACTCTATGTTCAGGTTCATTAGAAGAAGTAGGTGACTTCGGTATAAAAAATTTCTTCATGCCTATAGTAACTAATGTGAAGGGTTGTGAAGAATCAAAACAGGCATCTTCACTTCCGCTGTCATGCCCACTGTCTTGCTCGTATCTAAAACACAACACACAGAGTATCTGTATCTTCATTCACAGACCTTCAAATATCTTCAAAATATTTTCACAAGGTAATAGACATTGCTTTAAAGTCAAAATAATTTTAGGGCCGGCCCGTGGCTCACTCAGGAGAGTGTGGTGCTGATAACACAAAGGCCATGGGTTCAGATCCTATATAGGGATGGCCGGTTTGCTCACTGGCTGAGCATGGTGCTGACGACACCACGTCAAAGGTTGAGATCCCCTTACCGGTCATATTTAAAAAAAAAAAAAAAAGTTAAAATAATTTTTATATCAAAAGATTTCTACTAAAACATAATCAATTAAAAACATAAAGAATACACGTTGCCATTTAGAATTATACCACAAACAGCCCCAAATTCCCTGTCATAAAACATCATCCACTTTTACATAAATATATATACAAGTGAGAACCTAAAAATTCATTAAGAACTTTGGTTTATCAAAAATAAAGTGGGAAGAGGGGAGTGAAGGGACTGGTCAAAGATTTTTTTTTTTTAAGTTATTTTTTGGCCAGTACAGGGAACCAAACCCTTGACCTTAGTGTTACAGGGCCATGCTATAACCAACTGAGCTAACTAGCCAGCCCACAGATTAAAAATTTATAGCACACAATCACATGTAAGAAAATATAAAGACAAGATGTGTGCCCTAATCCAAGGAATTACCAGACTAAGTAAAATAAATGGAAACTACAAAATAATGCATGAGAAAAAAGCATGCTTCATTCTCCTCCTAAGAACTTTATTTCCTGGTTGGGATTTCTACATGGATCTATGATGTGAACAAGGATTAGGAAGTTTTTTTTTCCCCCTTCTACTATAAAACAGTAAAAACTTATAGAAAATTTTGATACTTATTCCCTTCTTTTTCTTCATAGGCATAACTTGATTTTTATATATTTGAAATCATACTGCATCAGAAATTTTAAAGTTTTTTCACTTCTAGTATTTCTCATGTTATAAACTTTTTACACATTAATATTAACATTCTATCAATTGGACATGCCACTATATTTAATTAACCATTCCCTTTTCCAATTTTTTGTGCTCTATAAATTTCTCATCATTGTACAAAAAGTTTTTCCTCTCATTCAGATTGTGAACCCGGGATACTGTTCACATAAGTGGTTAAAAATTATTTGTCTGGGCTAGCTCACTTTATTTCATCTAAAAGAACTAAACTGTACAATCTCTTTTAGTCAATCTCTTAAGAAACTGAAATTGTTTGTTCTGGAAACATGTCTACCGTGACACAATTTTGTAAAGGACTTATGGGAAAGTCTAAAGAAACTGTCCTGTAACAAAAGAACAACCTGATATCAATTGTGATGTAGGGCAATTACAGGCATTTCTTCATATATGTGGGTAATTTTTATCACATGTAGAAAACTTTCAAAATTTGAAACCGTGAAGCTATATCATAATCAAGAGGTATCGAAAACAGACTTATTTCCTCATGACATCAGAAATTAACTGCTAAATCTCATTATTCAACATGTGATCGTAAGACAACCTAACTCATTTTCTTAGCCAGCCACAAAAGCATGGCCAAAACACCTGAATCTAAGAAATGCATAGTCCAAATATAACAAATAATTCCAAGTCTATTTTCAGGCTTACCTTGCTAAACCAGGATATTTACTTTTAAAAGAATTATCAAGTTCTCAATCAATAAAAATATCTACCTTGGACTAACTGCATCCCGGGGAGAATGGAGCCATTCTTGTAGTTTATTGCTGGAAGCAACTCCCACTTTTACCAAGTATGAATACGGTTCCACACGGAAGGCCCAAAAGTGTTTCCCTTTTGTAATTCCAGCGTCTCCAATGATGTAGTCCAAGCTTGTGTAACAACCCACTTGGATACGTTCAGCAGCAAGTAGAAGATTAAATCCAGCTCTGCTCTCTACCCGGTCTCTCTTCAAGTTCAGCAGGAGGCGTTCATTATTATAGCCACATTTTTCATCAAAGAGGAAACTGAAAACTAAATAGAGCTTAAAATTAATTTAAAATTGGTCTGGAAGGTATTTATTAGCATTTCTATAATTTAAGGTTAAATTTAATAGGTTTTCAAATAGAAATTTCTGAAAAGAGATGGGAAGAGGAAGGAATCACACTATCCCAGACAAGGATGACAAACCAAAACTCCAACTTAGCAAAAACTTCCAGTGTATTCTCTATACCTGAAAACCTTAGAAATCTCAAAATCAGAAGAAAATATTTTAAACGTTATGTGAAAATTTATGAATTTGGCTCTTTGGAACAGAGATAGCAAATACATATGTCATAAATATTTTACACTACTGGATCTATTCTTTTATCTTTAAAATAAGGGTTTGTACATTTTCACAAATATCTGTCAGTTTTCTTAAATATCTATTCTAAATTTTAATTTGGAAAATTTTAGATATTTTATTTTAATAAGGCATTTTTCTTACAAACCAACACAGCAGACTTGAGAAGCATGGCGTAGATTAAAAAAAAAAAAAAAAGTATGGGCTTTGAGCGCAGAGAGACCTGGGTTTGAGAGACCTGCTCAAGCATTTAAGTTTGATCTGAACTAATTTTCTCATCTACAGAAAGGAGATAATGACACTATCATAAGTCTCTATCAACTCAAATCCATTAAGCATAATGTTCGCTCTTAGCCAACAGGGAAAAGAACCCAAATGTCTATCAAGAGATGAGTGGATAAAGAAAATGTGGTATATACATAAAATGGAATATTATTCAGCCTTAAAAAGAAATTCTAATACATGCTACAACATGGATGAACCCTGAAATAAGTCAGATGCAAAAGAACTAATGTTGCACTTATATGAGGTCCCTAGAATAGGTGAGTTCATAGAGACAAAAAGTAGGAAAGAGGTTACCAGGCTCTGAGGGGAGGCACGGTGGGGAGTTACTGTTTAATGTGTACAGAGTTTCAGTTTGGGATGAGGAAAAAGTTCTCGGGATGCAAATGATGATAGTTGAGCAATACTGTGAATATACTTAATGCGACTGAACGGTACATTTAAAAATGGTTAAAATGGTAAGTTTTATTTATATTATACCACAATTTTAAAAAATGGCTGCTAGCAAGCTAAAGCCATCCCCCATATGTAGGCTGCCCATCCTTTGTGGTAATGCCTATTGTCCTGGCACAATTATTCATGCTTCCTTTCAATCCCAAAAGTCCTCCGGTTTGCACAATAAATTTAAAGGATCACTCTATTCATACGGTTTCTCTCCAAGAAAAGGAAGACAACCGTTAATATTTCCTTTCCTCCTTCCCCCTCCACTATGTTACTGAAAACAGCAGCTACATCCAGGTTTCTTTTTCTTCCACTTTCGGTCTGAGACCAGAAAAGAAAGCGGAAATGGCATAAATTAAAAAACATTTACTTAATACTTGAAAATTTATCCTAAGACTCTATTTGGTTTTTATTAAAATTCAAGATAGATAATTCTAGCCAACCCTACGTATCTGTATTCTAATTTTTTTTTTTTAAGTCACAATGTGCGTGAAAAACAAATAGTGCTTCTCTATTTTGAACAAAAAGGGAAGGAAAGGCAGAGTGCAGAAAATACGGGTACCCAAGTCACTAAAAATGGACAGGGGGCAATGGGGCCTAAAATCCAATCAAGATATCTCTAAGGCGGTGACTGACAGGGCACAATTTTTTCCTGCTAACAAGACTGAGCACAACTTTAGTTCTAAATGTCCCTCATTCACAGAGACATTGTAGTGAACCTCGAGTAACCTGTAAGTCATTCATTCTCATTCTATGAAATCTTGAGGCACTGTACATGCAGCATCAGTGTTTTTTAACGTGGAAGGTGAGGAGGGCGGCTGGGCATGAGGAGCTTTTAGTGTGGGGCAAAGAGCTGTGCATGTGGTTCTAATACATGCATTCTGTCCCTGTATGCTGACAATCACTGAGTTAGAAATCCAGTCCTGTAAGAATTAGGTTAAGTCAAAACTATATTTCAGGATATTATACCAATACATTCTTAAATATCTACCTAGCTCCTATACCATAGAGAATTACATAAACTGAACAAAAATACAGAATCATACTATTTACAACTTCTAAAGTAGCATTTCTGCTATTGTAATCCCAACTTTATCCCAGCCCTGCTCACTCAAATATCCTCCTTTCATGTTTTTCTCTAGCCGATGTCAGTGAAAATTTAATTCTGTTTTCAGCCTACAAGGTGAAATTCAAGTATTTCGTTCATTTTTAAATCCTAGCTGGATATGGAATCTACTTTTCTGGCATCTTAAAAACAAAAGTTGATTTCAATGTAGGTCTACATGGAGACACTGACCAGTTTATTTTATCAAGTTCTCTTCCAACTCTATGCTTTTTTTATTTCCAATATTCACAGTACCTGGAGCTGGAGGAGTATGAAGAATCAATTCTCTGCTGCAAGGACTACAGATTGAACCCTTGTAGGCTCTCACTCTAAAAGCATAGCTGGAATTGCTTTCAAGTTCTGAAACAACTTTACTCGTGCCATGCACTTCTATCTCATTCCATGACAATATTTCATCATCTCTATTAATCTTCCGATATTCAAGAACATAGCTATCAGCTTTATCCTTTTCTGGATGGTCCCAATTTATCAAGGCATTGTTATAAACTTTGCTCTGTTCCTCATTGATCTCTGGAACATCTATGCCTGAAAGAATTATGAAATAGAAAACAACATTAAAGTATTAATATTTCAAAACCTGTATTTTTCCTCAGTAAAAATGATGTTTTGACAATCTTAAGGACTTCTATACTATCCAAGAGTTTTCTAAATTTATACTACTATGTATAAGAAATAGAATAAGTATAAAATAAGATATATTTATAACTGAAAGGAAAAAGAATAAAAAATAAGACAAAAATTAAAACTCAATTACAGCTTTAAGTATTATAATTATTAATTCTAAAACAACAAATTAAATTTCTTAACCATATGATTTCACCTACTAAATAACAGCCCTGGATTTGAAATTTTTCATCTATGTCCTCTCATAAATAAACTATTATTTTAGTATTTTAAAATCTAAGTTTGGTGAGCTCATCAAATAAACTCTCAATGAACATCAGATAATTTACTTTCATATTTTCTCCTGTAGAGTTGCAAAGCAATTAAACTAATCTTGGTATATACATAACATTTTTTATAAGAAAATCAGAAACTAAAGAAAACACATAAAAAATTTTAAGTAATCCAAAGGTAATCACTAGAACAATTTTGTGTAGATCCTTCCAATATTTTTCCCCAATGGCAATTCCACTATATGGGTATACCAATATTTAACTATTGGGGGGGAGGGGAAGATGTTGAGAGGAATGGGTAAAGGGGCATGAAAATCAAGTACAATGTATTTTGAGAAGTAAAATTTTAAAAAATAATAAGTTTTAAAAAATGTAACTATTATGGGAAATGGGTTTCTTTCCTTTTTTATTGAAACATAATTGATGAATATCAGCATCTGTGTACAGTACGTGATGATCAAATCAGGATAATTAGTATACTCATCTTTATGAGTATAAAGAAAACATAAAACATAATCATTCTTTGTGACCCTAAATCAATTTCTTGCTAACCACCCCTTCCCCTCCTCCTTTCCCACCTCTAATAACCACAGTTCTGTTCTCTCCTTTTGAAAGCTCAATGTATTATTGTGATTTGGGGGAAATGGGTTTCTAATTTTTCACTAAAAATACAATAATTAAAATATTACAGCTAAAGCTCTGTGCATATGCATAATCTTTCCCATAGAATAAATTCCTAAGCTTAACTCCTTGAATCATATGGTAAGAACAATAAGCTGTAAGAGTTACACACACACACACCCCCCACATCCATACAGACACATTCACAGCAAATTACAGAGAAGGATTATAAAATGAAAAGTAGAAGTCTCCCTTTTTTTCTTATCCCGCAGCTATACACAAACAATGTACAAGCATGTCTGTGTATGGTGCATTTATACAACTAAATGCTATGCAGCCATATTGAGAACTGGAAAGCCATCCAAAATACATTCTAAGGTTAAAAAAAAAAGTACAAATTACAAAATGACATGAATAGTATATCCTACCCCACACATCCCTTTTCTTTTTTTGAAACACAGTTTACTTAAAAAATGTGCATGTAGGAAAAAATGAGGGGAATATCCATCAGCTGGAAGCTGTGTGGCTATTGTCCACTCTTTCCCATCTATTTTCGTGGGTCTTTGCTATGCATTGATACAACCCAAGACTACCCACCTTCAACCTCACCTTTCCAGAGACCATTTTGTGATTCACAGGGGAGGGAGGGCCTTGGACTCACAAATAATCTAACATGTATAAAAAAAATAATTCATACACATTTTGGAAACAGAGGATACAGCATATGATGCAGAGTCAGCATTTGAAAAAATAAGATAGTCATTATAAATAAGTATATATCAGATTCAAGTTTAGATTTGAAAAGAAAGATCACAGTATTCCTTTAAACAAATTTCCTTTGATTGAATATACAAATCCACAAATCTATTCCTATATAGCAATTAGACTGTAAGTATGTCTTCTTTTAAGTGTTGTAAGAAACCTCAGGAAGATGAGTTGAGATGCTGAGAATGAAAAAAGGAGATGAAGACCCACTGCTAGGAGGTGGCAAAACACAAACATAAGCAATGTTATGGCTGAACTTTGACTTCGCAAATTCATATGCCGAAGTCCCAAATTCTAGTACCTAGAATGTGAATGTATTTGGAGATAGGATCTTTAAAGAGGGAATTAAATTAAAATGAGGTCACTACAGTGGACCCTAATCCAATATGACTAGTGTCCCTATAAGAAGAAGAGATTATGGGGCCGGCCCGGTGGCGCACTAGATAGTGCGCCGCTTGGGAAGCGCGGCGCTCCCGCCCGAGGGTTCGGATCCCGCATACAGACCGGTTCCCGCTCACTGGCTGAGCGAGGCGCGGGAGCAACACCAAGAGTTG